AAAAAAAATTTCTTGGGGGACTTTAAGGGGGAGATTGACAGCAACACAATCACCGTAGGGGACTTTAACACCCCACTGTCACCACTGAACAGATCATCAAGACAAAAAATCAACAGGGAAACAGAACTTAAATGAATCACTAGAACTAATGGATTTAATTGACATTTACAGAACATTTCATCCCAAAGCAGCAGAATACACATTCTTCTCAAGTGCACATGGAACATTCACAAAAATAGACCACATGTTAGGACACAAGGCAAGTCTCTACAAATATAAGAAGATTGAAATCATATCAAGCATCTTCTCAGATCACAATGCCATGAAACTAGAAATCATCCACTATTAAAAAACTCAAAAATATTCAAACACATGGAGGCTAGATATCATGTTATTAAACAATGAATGGGTTACCAATGAGATCAAGGAAGAAATCAAGCACTTCATGGAAAGTAACGAAAATGAACAGAAAACAGCCCAAAATCTATGGGACATGGTGAAAGCAGTCCTGAGAGGAAAATTCATAGTATTACAAGCCTATCTCAAGAAACAAGAGAAAGATCTAATGAACCATCTAACACAACAACTAAAAGAACTAGAACGAGAACAGCAAGAAAAGCCCCAAGGAACTAGAAGGAAGGAAATAATGAAAATCAGAGCAGAAATTAATGACATAGAGACTAAAAAAACAATACAAAAAAACCAATGAAACCAAGAGCTGGTTCTTTGAAAAAGTAAATAAGATTGATACACCTTTAGCCAGACTCACCAAGAAACAAAGAGAGAGGACTCAAATAAATAAAATCAGAAATGAAAAAGGCAATATAACAGCTGACCCAAAAGAAATACAAAGGATTGTAAGAAAATATTATGAGCAACTATATGCCAAGAAACTGGACAACCTGGATGAAATGAACAAATTCTTAGAAGCATACAACCTTCCAAAGTTGAATCAAGAAGAGGCAGAAAACCTGTATAGGCTGATAAAAACTAATGAAATTGAAGCAGTAGTCAAAAAACTCCCAGCAAACAAAAGTCCTGGATCAGATGGATTTACAGGTGGGTTTTACCAAATATTCAAAGAAGAATTAACACCTATTCTATTCAAACTATTCCAGAAAATTCAAGAGGAGGGAAAACTCCCAAATTCTTTCTATGAGGCCAGTATCACCCTAATCCCTAAACCAGATAAAGACACTAGAAAGAAAGATNCCTAATCCCAAAACCAGATAAAGATACTACAAAGAAAGAAAATTACAGGCCAATATCCCTGATGAACATAGATGCTAAAATCCTCACTAAAATACTAGCAAACCGGATCCAGCAATACATTAAAAAGATCATACATCATGACCAGGTGGGATTTATTCTGGGGATGCAAAGCTGGTACAACGTCCGCAAATCAATAAATGTGATACATCACATAAACAAAATGAAGGACAAAAATATGATCCTTTCAATAGATGCAGAAAAAGCATTTGACAAAATCCAGCACCCATTTCAGATAAAAACTCTCAGCAAAGTGGGAATAGAAGGATCATACCTCAACATAANAAAAAGCATTCGACAAAATCCAGCACCCATTTCAGATAAAAACTCTCAGCAAAGTGGGAATAGAAGGATCATACCTCAACATAATAAAGGCCATATATGACAGACCTACAACCAACATCATACTCAATAGGCAAAAACTAAAACAATTTCCATTAAACACAGGAACAAGACAGGGATGTCCACTTTCACCACTCTTATTCAACTTAGTTCTGGAAGTCCTCCCCATAGCCATCAAACAGGAAGAAAACATAAAAGGTATCCAAATTGGAAAGGAGGAAGTAAAACTGTCATTATTTGCAGATGACATGATATTGTACATAGAAAACCCTAAAGACTCCATCAAAGTACTACTAGAATTGATAAACGAATTTGGCAAGGTAGCTGGATACAAAATCAACATCCGGAAACTAGTGGCATTCTTATACAGCAACAATGAACCTTCAGAGAGAGAAACTAAAAAAGCAGTACCATTTACCATTGCAACTAAAAAAATAAGATACCTAGGAATAAATTTAACCAAGGATATAAAAGACCCATACTCGGAAAACTATGTGACACTGAAAAAAGAAACAGAGGAAGATTTAAACAAGTGGAAGAATATACCATGCTCATGGGCTGGAAGAATTAATATCATTAAAATGTCTATACTACCCAAAGCAATTTATAAATTTAATGCAATTCCTATGAAAATACCAACAGCATATTTCACAGACCTAGAACAAACATTTCGAAAATTTATATGGAACCAAAAAAGACCCCGAATAGCTGCAGCCATCTTGAGAAAAAAGAACAGAGTGGGAGGGATCACATTACCAGACTTGAAACTGTATTACAAAGCCACTGTAATCAAAAC